TCCAGGTTTTGGAGTCGAAAGTGACTTTTGTCTAGAACTGAGCCATTATTTTTGGCGTTTAATATTCGCATACAGGATCCATATTTCATCACCGGTGACAATTCTGTCCAAAAATGGTTCACGCGCATTACACGCCACAAGAGACGAAGCAACGTTCACACGTTGGAAACGATAATCATCGGAGAGTTCATGAGACACCCAAACACCTTCTTTATGGAGTTTTCCCATATTCCTTAGACGTTTACGTATTGTTTCATGAGAGACATGCAATTTCATGGCCATTTTACGAGTACGTTCTCTTTGGTTAGACTCAACAAGCGTTTTCAGAGCATCAAAATCAATTCCAACATGTCGGCCCCTACCATCAGAGTTTTTAAGGCTAAAGTCACCTGAACGAAATTTACTGACCATCGTTGACACTTACGAACGTTTAAAACATTTCCATAAACTTCTTTGATATTCGTTGTGGCTACAGATGTGTTGTTTCCATTCTTGTATTCAAACAGCATTACATGCTGAATGTGTGTCTCGTCGTGTGCCATCATTATAAGGGATTAGAGTATACTAAACATTATACAGGCTACACTAACGTGACGTTTAGGCGATTCGTTTAACTATTATATGTGATGTACGTTTTTTTGGGTTTTTTTTTGAGGGGGATTAATGAAAGTGTTCCATAACGCGACATTAATTTCTTGACGACCTAATAATTATTAACAATTTATTGTGACAGCATAGTCATATGTCAATAAATACCTAAGGTATTCTATACTGATAGTGATTAGTAAAAGATTTTACGTTTGAACCATTTTAACTCTTAAAAAATGAGTAAAAACTAGTTTTTCTAAATTTGTTCAATTGATCGAAATTACCACTTTACCTCAAATATGTCTTCTAAACTAAACTTTAAATACCATTCTACCATTTAACTCGAAACTGAGGTGATGAATAGATCAACTAGCCTCGTGATTAAAGATAATTACCAACTACTGTATTTGATTCAGCTAAACCTTTAAAGATATGGCATGGTATGAGATGGTGGTTAAGGTGCTTAACTCGCAACCTGCGGGTGGCAAGTTCACCGAACATGCTAGCTATTTCAACTGTAGGAATGTTATAAAATGACGGTCAATCCCAATTTTCGATTAGTTCAATAGTTGGCAGTGGGTGGAGTTGGCTAACTACGTTCCTTCTCGTTTTTTTTTTTTTTTACTTACTAAGGTAAGGAAGAACGTCGTTGAACGTTAAGTTGACAAAGTAAATTCTAACTAAATACAATACAATACTAATACAAGATAATAAACGTAACGAA